ATTGGTGAGAAAAAAAGTCCAGGGAAGTTACACTGAGGAATTTTTTTCCATCATGGCAATGTACTGACTGACCACTGTTTCATGGTAGCTAGGGCTGTCCTATGAGAACTTCATTGGTAAACCTTACCTCATTCATCCCATAGCCCTCATCTTGCTCCTTCAGACTTTTTTTGTTCCCAGACTCAAAGAACATTTAAAAGGAAGCTGATTGAGTTCCTCAAGGATGCCAAAACTGCTGTGGTAATGTAGTGCAAATTGAAGAGAGCAGAATTCTTTGGAGAAAAGGAAGGGTTCGAGTGGAAAACTGCTTTCAGAAACGCATAGACCTAGATGGGAGATACGTTGAGAAACAATAGCTTCTCCTTTTGCTCTTTCTGTTTAATAAAGGTTTTTATGATTTTGTAGAGATATACACTGACTTACTCTGATACTTGATTATTTGATAACTTTTCTTAGTTTTCTCTCCGGGTTAAATAATAACAACATGCTAATTCTTTCTCAAGGACTATTTCAATCCTTTCAATAATTTATCATGACCACTTTCCAGCTTCTCTCATTTTCTCCAAAGACTGAAAGGGCTTGGTCAGTGCCAAGAATCAGTGAGTTACTTTGTAGAGACAGTACTCCAGTCCTAGCTCTCCAGTTTGGCTTTCCAAATGACAGTACAACTCAATACCAACCTGGGAATCTTCTGCCTGTTATGTCAGGAAATCAGTACTTTCTCAAAGTATTCACACTTAAGTTGTGGCTTTAGAGTCCTTGTTTCTCACCTGTTTGAATCAATGTATGTAAACTAAGTGTCTTGCCAAAAATTCACATGTATGAGTAATTGAATTGACTCTTTATCCCTGCTTAAAATATCTAGATCCAGGAGCTAGTTTTGTTCAGCTCATTTTGATCTTGGGGGTACCAGCTATATTATATTACATGTCTCCGGATTGTTGTTGATTGCCGTTGATTGGCCCGACCCATTGCGATTCCGCATAAGGTATCCAAGGAGCGGCTAGTGAGCTTGAACTACTGACCTTGTGGTTCAGACCGACTTTGCAGTCCTGCGCATTGGCCCACAGAACCACACCAGGACTCTTAATAAAAAATGTCCAAATCTCCGGACCAATTTCAAAAGCGAGGCCGCGTGCCCAGTGGCGACCAGACGGCTGAACATCGGTTCAGCACGGCGCCCTCTGGTGGAAAGGGAATAAATGTATCCACTGACCCCGACTCGTACACAAACATGCAGGCCCACACCCCCTCTCAATAATTAAGGTCAATTCCCCGGGGAGTGACATTCCACCAGGCCGACTGGGCCGGAAGCTCCCGGGAGGCTTCGCGCAGCCCAGGACTCCGTCTCCCAGAGGGCCCCGCCCCCATCGGCCACACGGCTCGAGAAGGCCGGCCTCTTGTTACCTGACGGCCGTGAATGTCTGGAGCCGGAGCAGTAGCGGCCTGCTTGGCACAAGGCCGCCCCGAATCCCGACCCGAAATAAGTGCACCAACATGATGGGGAGGGAGAGAAGGAGCAGCCAACAACAGCAGTTTCCCCCTCGCCCCACCTAGCGTTCCAAATTGGCGTCTACGCCTTCCCGACAGCCTCTTCGCGCCTCAGCTATGATTAGAGGAAAGGCATGTCATTCTCATCTCATGGAGTGATTGGAGAAAATAGGCTGGGCCCGACTCCTCCCAAAACTGTGATTGGAAAGGAACGCCTAGTTGGCTGCCTCCGCCTCTGGGTGGGGCGGAGGAGGGCTGGAGCTGCCCACTGACGCTGCCCAAGTCGGCTGCGGGGTGACGTTTTGAGGGTGTGGATAGCCACATCCTCCAGGGTATCCATAGTAACCGTAGGTCGCTGACCCTGAGGCTATTTGCCTAAAATACTCAAGGTGGATTCTAGTTGGGCGGGGCTGTCCTGGAAGTGTAGATCCCTGGTGCAGGAGGACGAATGGAGCATTTTGAAAAAACCAAATGTACCTTGCCACTTACCCCGCTTTCCCAAACCTGTTAGAAGCTGGCGGCCACGTGTATTTTGGAAAAAAACCCATGTATTTTGGTGGGTTTGATCATCCTCTAAGTGATTGAGAAATACTAGTATGACCGTCCTTTAACCTACCAAGGCGTGACCTCAGATGTGTGTCCCCACAAAAGCCTTCCGTATTCGGGTCAGAACTGACCTGTCTTAGCCGCCTACCTTTGTTTCTTGTTAAGTGTTGTGGAGTGGGTTCCAACTCATAGCGATCCTGTATAGGGTTTCCAGGAGCAGCTGGTGGGTTTGAACTGTCGACTTTGTGGTTTGCAGTCTAGTGCTGATCCTACAGTGCCATACTGTGCATTGGGCTGTGACTGCTTTTGTTATTATTATTTTTTAACTTTTTATTGTGAATGATGGTGGTGAAGGTAAACAGACAAAGAGCATCAGCTTTACTTTCAACCAATCATACGTTGTGTTTCATCTCAATGATTACACTGCCCTCCCTGTAACTACAATTATCCTGCTTCCACCCTATGGCATCCCTCTTACATCTAATTTTTCACAAATAAACTAAGCAAAAAAATTGATGTATACATACAAAACAAAAGATATATATTCATTTAAATGTCCAAAGGGCACATTTTGCAAGGCAGCCTCCTTCCCTTAGCCACACAGCCTTTCTCAGTCCATGGGCCTAGAGTCCTCCTCAGCTGCTCTATCTCTCCATACCATTGCCTCTGCCACCATCCCTGCTGTAGCTGCTTTTCTGCATAGGATCTCACTCTCCACTCATGCTCTTTCTTCTTGATAGTCCTGGGGTCCTCTGTTCCTGAAATGAAAGATGAACTACTCCCCCCTTTTAGGTACACATCTTCTACAATTACAATTGTGACCATCACAATTAATCCTGATAACAATGATTCACAATTGAATCATAAAATCCTATTACCATTGTCCCCCATCCCCTTTCACCAGATCCATTGTCCCCCATCCCCTTTCACCAGATCCATCTGGAAAAGAGGAAAACTATTCAGTGGAGATTCTACCTTATCCCCCTTCATTTTGAAACTAAACACACTTATGAAAGCTTGTAAGCCAGCCACTTCATGTGTGCCTTTATTTGTGTTGTTGTTGAATGCCTTCAAGTGGGTTCTGATTCATAGCCACCCTGTGTAGGGTTTCTGAGGAGCAGCTGGTGAATTTGAACCACCAAGCTTCGGTTCAAATTGACCTTTTGGTCCTGTGCATCATCCCAGAGTGCTACACCAGGACTCCTCGTGCCTTTTTTGTTGTTGTTTAGTGCTGTCGAATCAGTTCCGAACCATAGCGACCCTGTAAAGGGTTTCCGAGGAGCAGCTGGTGAGCTTGAACTGCAGACCTTGCAGTTCAAATGGCTTTGCAGTCTGGCACATTAACCCACAGCGCCACACCAGGAGTCCTCATGCCTTTATAGCCCCTCATTTTTCATAGTCATTGCGGTAACTTTTTTTTGCACAGTAACTGGTGTGGCACTGTAGGATCAGCACTAGTCTGTGAACCACAAGGTCAGAAGTTCAAAACCCAACCAGCTGCTCCTCAGAAACCCTATCCAGGGTCACTACGAGTCAGAACCAATGCAAACACACTTAACAACAGCTGTCTCATTCATCTACAGGTCCCCCCCACTCCCCTGCATTAACTGGCAGAGAAAAGAGCCCTGTATAATAAATTGACCTGAATAGGACAGTGATGTAGTGAGGCTTTCTTTCTATGAATCTGTGCTGGACTTGGGTGGGAAAATGTGCCAGGATTCATTTGGGATTGGTCTCAGGGTGTATGGGAAAGGGTCCTAATGTGAGTGTGGGGAATATCAATATGAGTTAGGTGGGGGAGAGCTGACAAAACCCTCATATAACCCACATGTGACTTGGGATGTCTAACCTTTCAACGTGTGATTTCATTTGGGATATTAGAGTTCTTCCTTCATTTGGGATAAGAAGTGAGTCTCCTGCTCAGACACTGTGTCAATTTTCCTCAAAGGAAGGAGGCACAGAAACAGAAAAGTAGGTTTACCTGGACTCAAGTTTTGTAAGTGCATTTCCTCCACAGTCCTCCAATGGCCAATCTGGGGTAGTGCAGTGTTCCTCTATAGCATGGATACTGGGTCTTAACCCTGGGGCCTAAACCCTGCAAGCCTGACACCTGGATGACTGAGACAGCACCTCAGGAATGGGTAGGAAGCTTAGTGATTCAGGGCCTCAAGAATGGCGTTGGGCAAGCCACCCGACCAGCTGCCTGAGCTGCCTCCTCCTTGTTTATGCCACAACAAGGAACTCAACTTGGCTCATCTCTGGGTACCCAAGTTATCCTTCTAAATCGTGGACTCCCACCTGCCCTTTACTGTCAGCATTTCTGCTTTAGGGGCCCCCAACACTGATTAGCCCTGGAGGGAAGGAATGTCAGTGTTCAAAAAGGTAAACCAACAAAACAATAGTGGAACTTCCAAAGAAATCAACTCTTCTGCTTTAAACTTCAAAAGATACCACATCTCAAATCCAAGATAGTCACTTCTTTCTTCTCTATTGATCACAGTGAGGGAGGAGTAAGATTTTTAAAAATCAAAGATTTAACATCTTGATCTCATAGTTCTATAATCTTTTAATAAATAGGATTTAGCTTTTCACCTTTGTTATTCCATCTCTGTTCTCTTATCTCCTATAAATTCACTCAAGGTCTGAAGATGGAGAAAAGAGGCAACTCCTCTTTCTCAATGCTCAGTTCAGCCTCTGCATTCTTAAGAGATGCCACACCCAGGTCCACTCTAAAAAGCCAAGCCCACCTGGCTGGGGGAGGCCTTGGGCCCTGAAGCTAGGCAGCAGGTGGCCCTGGAAGGGGTGTGAGTGGAATGCCTTGGGCCTGCCTCACTGAGTCACCTCGTGTTGTTGCTGTCATTATCTTTGTTGCTGTCTGAAGTCCCTGATCAGCTCCTCAGACTTCTGTGGAAACAGGAACAGCCCCTTGCCCTTTCAACTTTTCTGGAGAAGCTGCCAGCCTGATGGTGAGCCGAATGGGGTGGGGGGGGAAAAGGGGGCGGCTGGGGCGGTGGGGAGACCTGGGGCCCGGATCAGTGCCCCTTCTTCCCACGCCCTCACCTCTTCCTCCTCCTTCTCCATGCTGGGGTCCTGGGGGAGGGAGGATCTCCATCTTCTCTCTTTCCCCTACTCCTCACACGAGAAGCTCCCCCTCATTTCTACCACCGGCCTTGCCTAGCCCCTGCCCTGTGATGCACGTGTCAGGGGCTCCTCAGCCTTGCCACAGTGCCCTCTCCACCCCAACACGGGCACCGCCTGCGATGACACCTACTTCTACTTCCCCCTCCTGGGGATCCCACTCCATCCCACCCCTGGCCTCGGTGACTCCCCCTCCCTCACGCCGATGCTCCCAGGACCCTCCTGGGCTTCGGATAGGCCCCCTGATCCCAGAGCAGGATTATGAAAGGCTGGAGGACTGTGATCCTGATGGGTCCCAAGATTCACCCCTTCATGGAGAGGAGCAGCAACCCCTGCTTCATGTGACTGAAGGGCTCCGGGGTAAGTGTAGTGTGGGAGACAGTGGAGGGGAGTGGAGAACTCATCACTCAGGCCAGAGTGTCACATCCCAGTTCTCACCTCTCTGTGCCTAGGCTCTTGGCATCACATCCAGAACCTAGACAGTTTCTTCACCAAGATATCCTTTGGGCTAAGGACTGGCAGAAAGCCTCTTTGGGGCTAGCACCATTCTTGGCAGGGAGTATGCATGAGGCCAAGGGGATTTGATGGGGGGCAGTGAATAGTGTCATCAGGAAAGGGCCATTTGCCTCTGGTTTATTCCTTAATGGGCCTGATACATCTACAACTACCATCAGCGAAATGGCTTTGCCTGTATTCTGCTGGAGGACATCTTCCAACTGGGGTGAGTTGCTTATCCTGGACCCAAACTCTGTCCTTGGGTCCTTCTGCTAGCTTTTTAAAAAAGTATCTGCTTCTAATCTGATGATTTTCTGAGCAACCCATGGGCTAGCAGGGTGGGGAGAGTGGCTCCAGGCTTGGCAAAGGCTGGGGGCAGCAGCTTGCCTGGCTGGCTCTCCGACCTCATCACTGCCTCATCTCTGCACTCCCTAGACAATTCATATTCATTGTCACCTTCACAACCTTCCTCCTTCGCTGTGTGGATTACAACGTTCTCTTCGCCAACCAACCAAATAACCGTACTAGATCTGGGCTGCTCCACAACAAAGTGACCTTGTCGGATGCCGTCTTATCTTCGGCCCAGTGTGCCAAGCAGTGAGTGACAGCCTGGGGGGAGGGGGAGCAGATGTGTTGGGGAGAGGAACAGATGAGAGTCCCTCTCTCTGTTTGTCCCTTGGTCTTGATCAGTGGTTCTCAAACTGTTTTATCTCAGGATGTCTTTAATCACTGAAGATGAATTTAGAGCTCTAGTGAGTTTTAGTTAATAAGGTATCTATTTATATTTATCCTGTGTTTGTTGTTGTGTCAAGTCAATTCTGACTTAGAGCGCGACCTTATATGATAAAGTAGAATTGTCATATAGGGTTCCCCATTCTGTAATAGTTATGGGAGCAAAGCACTGGGTCTTTTCTCCCACTTTAATGCTGGAATTCTAACTCAATGTGACCCTATATGACAGAATTGTTAAGTGCCATCGAATTGATTCCAACCCATAGCGACCTTGTATAGGGTTTGTGAGGAGCAGCTGGTGAGCTTCAACCACTGACCTTGCAGTTCAAAGCAACTTTGCAGTCCAGTGCATTAGCCCACAGTGCCACACCAGGACTCCATATGACAGAGCAGAACTGCTCTTTAGTGTTTCTTTATGGGAGCATATCACCAGGTCTCCCACTGAGACCCTGGGAGTTTGAACTGCTGACCATTGGGTTAGCAGCAGAGCATTTAACCATTGTGCCACCAGGGGTTCTTATATTTACCCTACTAGTTATTAAAGCTGAGAACATATGTTTTAATTTTTTAAAATTTCATTTATTTTTAAAATTTTTGCGGGTGGTAGGAGTAAAGAGTTTGCATTAGTACTATGGCTAGATCTAGGCTAGGCCTAGGACTTCATTTAGAGTGAGGCATATGGTTAGGACTAGGGTTAGTGTTAAGGGTTAGGGGCTAGGCTTGGGCTAGGAGTAAATTTTGGTCTAGTTTTAGGGTTACAGTTAGTTTTATTTTTAATTTATTTTTTTTAAATCTACTTGACTTCCTCTTCATTTGAAAGTTCTGTAGTTACAGTATACCCTCTTGTTACTTGATGTTTTTTTGTTTGTTTGTTGCAATCTTTGGTTCCTTCTTTTCAGTCTTATGTGTTTGTTTACTTTGAATACTTCTGTATCTGTGTTGAGTTCTGGGTGATATTGTCGTATATGTTAATCTCAAATTGTTGTCTGTTGTTGGTTCTCTGTTCAAAGAACTTCCTTTGTAAGGCTGGTATGTTTTTTACTAGCTCTTCTAATTTGTTTATCTGGAAATGTCCTATTTCACCACCCTATTTGATAGACAGTTTTCCTGGGTATATGGTTCTTAGTTGACATTTTTTTTTTTCTTTCAAGAGTGTTATGTATGTCATTTCATTGTCTACTTGGTCTGCATGGATTTTGCTGAGAAATCAGCTTAATCTTATTGTTTCTCCTTTGTAAAAATTCTGTTTTTTCCTCAGATTCTTTCCTTGTCTTTGATTTTGAAAGTTTGATGCTACTATATCTTGGTGATTTTTCTTTTGGATTCTGTTTGTTTGTAGTTTGTTCAACTTCTTGGTTGCATATCTTCTCATCTTTCATGTTAGGGAAGTTTTCTTTCAACATCTTTTAGACAATTTTCTCTGTTTATTTTGTCTTCCTATTCTGGAATTCCAGTCACACCTCAGTTATTGATGTTGTTGTTAAGTGCCGTCGAGTCGGTTCCGACCCATAGCGACCCTGTACAGGTGTAAATCTTTACGGGAGTAGAAAGCCTCATCTTTCTCCCTCAGAGCAGCTGGTAGTTTCGAACCGCTGACCTTAATGTTCGCAGCCTGATTCGTAACCACTACGCTACCAGAGCTCCTATTGATAGTGCCACACATAAATCTTAGGCTTTCTTCAGATTTTGTTGTTTGTTTTTCTGATTGTTCCTCTAGCAGATGAATACTGAGAGATTTATGGTCAAGCTCATTAATGTGGCCTTCCGTTGATTCAATTCTACTTGTTCGCCCTTTTCAATGTATTGTTGCTGTTGTTGGTTGTTAAGTGCCATCAAGTAGGTTCTGTATCTAAAATCTTAGTATTAGTCTTCTGGCTTACTTGCTGTTTCTGTATGATTTCAAATGTTTCATTTATTTTGTCAATTTGTCCTTGAACTGTTTTCCTGAATTCTTCTAAAATTTTTTCTGTGTTTTCTTGATTTCATCAGCAGTTTTCTTGATCATTCTATCAATCTGTTAAAAGCACCTAAATATTATTCTTGTAAATTCCTTATCAACAGGGTAAAGTCAAAAGAAGACTCACAGGGAGGAGGTGGTATAACTTGTTACATGGAGGGGATTACAATCATTGAGTTGAAAAAAGGGGATGGTTTGTTGAATGTAAAACTGTGATGATATCCTCTGTAAACCTTCACTCAATTCTCAATAAAAAGTTAAAAAATACTCCTTATCAAGTACTTTTGATACGATTTCAGGTATTATTTTTTCTGACTGTATTCTGATCACTTGTTTGAGGTACTCTATCTTGTTTCTTTGTGTAAGCTAAAATTGTCTTATTTTTTCTGAGATATTGTGATGTCCTTTTTAAGTTATTTAATTGATGATTGTATGTTGGTGGATGTGATAGACTGCAAGTTTGAACGCAGTTCTCTGTTCCCTGTTTGCATACTGTAGGTTAGGGCAGAGTTCACAAGCCTCTAGACACAGGGCTGGTGTGCCCAGTGCTCAACCCCAGGAAAAACAGGGTGTGTAGGAGGAGGTGCCACTTATCACTGGGCTGGTGAGGGCGGGGACTGGTCAGGTTGTTGGCTATCAGGAGAGCTTGGAGAACAAGGCAAAACTACACCCCCCTTGCCACCAACCTCCAGTCTTGTCCTGTGTCTCCAGTTGCCTGCACAAATTCAAGATGGTTGCACTGTGCCAGACTGGCTGGCAGTCTGCCCATGTTTCTTCTCTCTTGCTGCTTCTGTTTAGCTTCTTCTTCCAGTCAGCACTCAACCCACCTTTTTGTCCTATCCTCTGAAGCTAAGAGTTCCAGGCTCACCATCTGCATCAACTTCATTTGGTGTCTCCATATCCTTGTTGTAGAGGGATCTGCTCAGCCTGTCTGCCTACTCTGCCATCTTGCCCTGGAAGTCCTTAAAGCTAAGAACATTTTTAAAATATAAGACTGTACAAGTACATACTTCATTGCCTGTCAGTGTGATGACAGCTTCAATATCATGAAATGTCTGAAAAAACGCCACAGCACACTCATGAGAGAATGAGAATGAAAAATGTACAAAACATCTCATTGTTATTTGAAAATAGTTTAGACCTTCCAGACCCTTGCAAGGGTCCCAGGTGTCCCGGGACCACATTTTGAGAACCACTGGTTTAGGTGTATCTTAATCGTTCTCCTTTATTTACCTCCTAAGCCCGGCCTCTGTCAGCTCCCACCGTTCTCTGCAACTTACCTGTCTAACTCCATACAGGATCCGCTCGAGCCCCCTGCTGGTTTTCCTACTGGTTCTAGCTACTGGTTTCTGGCTGTTCCAGCTGCTTCGCTCAGTCTGCAACCTTTTCAGCTACTGGGAAATCCAGGTGTTTTACAGAGAGGCCCTGCACATCACCCCGGTGAGCTGGGTGGGTGTGTCTGTGTAGAAGGGTGCCATGAAAGGGTGGCAGAGGTTAGGGGAAACAGTGGTGACTGTACAGATGGAGGGATCAATTGGAAAGAGGGTAGAAAGGGTGGAGCCTTCTAGGCATCTACCGTCCACCTAGATCGATGCTGGGAGGTAGAGTAATATTATTTATAAAACATGGTCCTTACTTTAGTGGAACTTAGATGGGTTAGTTTATTTAGATGGGTCATATGAGGTGATTTATAGTCACATGCTTGTGGTAGAAACAATAGGTGTTTAGTGGGAAGGGGATCATCTGGCTTTTGGATTGTGTTAGGATGGACAGGGGAAACGGGGAAAGTGTTCCAAGCCCTGGTGTGGGAAGACAGAGAAAGTCAGTGAGCATCTGCGAATAGCAGAGAGGAGACTGTTGCAGCTGTCTGCAACTAAGCATTCTTCAGTACTCCGAACATCCCCCAACACTCTGCTCAGTCTTTCTAAAACTGCTCGGACCCAGGGACCCCCACTTGGATATTCAGCGGCCTCTAGAGACCCCAAGATCAAGTTCAAATCCTTAGTTTGGCATTTGAAATCCCTCATACACATTTCGTTTCTAGTGTCACCTTCATGAGGTTGGCTTCTTCACCAGCCCCTAGTCATGTTTTGTCCTTCCTTTCCATCCCATCTTGATCATATTCTTTTGGCTCTGTACCTAAGTTTTTTCTTGAAGGAAAAGCTCCAAAGCTACCTTCTGCACAAAGTTCCCCTTGTCTCCCCCAGAAGTTCTAGAAGGCCCTTTTGAGTCATGGAACCCAAGGTATAGAGCAGGGAGAAGTGGGGAGGACTAGGAAGCATGACTGACTTTTCTGTTTATCCTTCTGCCTTTGCCTTCCTCCCTTATGCCTTCCAGGGGAAGGAGACCTAGTGGGATGAACTGCGAGGCTGGCCTTGAGGCACTTGACTAGGCAAAACTGAGGAAGCTAGGTGAAAAGGGGCTAAAATGCAATTTGCAGTGCAGCCCTCCAACTGAGCTCTCCAGCAAGTATTGTGGAAGGTCGTTTCTAGTGAAGGAGTGAAGAAGATCTGAGTAGGGCAGGCCTTGGGTCTCAAAGCAGGCTGAAGCAAAAATTAGTTAGGATTCTGGACAAGGGTTGCTAGGTATGTGAGAAATGGGAAGGAGAGATATCCCCATTAGCTGCCAATCATTCTGTGTCTTCTATGTGTTGACTGGGGGCGTGGTGGAAGGAGGGTGTCAGAAAAACTTGTTCTTAAGGATCTCACAATGCAATTGAGAAGCCAGGGCATACACCTGAAGAGCTAACTACTAAGGTGTGACCAGGAAACACATGACTAATAGACATATGAATGGCAGGGACTATGAGGAATGGAGCAATTCAGAAGATGAAAAGAAATAGGAAGTGTCTTATTAGTGACAATGGAGGGTCAAGAGAGGGCAGAAGATGACAAGTTTCACGTCTGAGTGTAGCTGGGACAGTGGAAGGTGGAAAGGGGGAGATGAAGAGCATAGTTTTGGTCACGCTGAGTTTGTAGCACTTTTTAGTTACTCTTTTAGGGTTACTGAATTTGGACATCACTGGGAGAGATTCTGGGGGTGGCTGATGCACCACTTTTCCCTTCTTCAGGAGGAGCTCAGCTCCATGTCCTGGGCAGAGGTGCAGTCTCGCCTTCTAGCATTGCAGAAGAGTGGTGGGCTGTGTGTGCAGCCGCGGCCGCTGACCGAGCTGGATGTTCACCACCGTATCCTACGCTACACCAACTACAAGGTGGCCCTGGCCAACAAGGGCCTGCTGCCAGCCTGCTTCCCGCTGCCTTGCGGAGGGCGCGTGGCCTTTCTCAGCCGTGGCCTGGGGCTCAACGTCGACCTCCTTCTCTTCCGCGGTCCCTTCTCGCTCTTCCGCGGTGGATGGGAGCTGCCGGATGCCTACAAACGCAGCGAGCAGCGGGGTGCCCTGGCCGCAAGTCTGGGGCGCACTGCGTTGCTGCTGGCCGCCGCCAACCTGGTGCTGAGCCCGCTGGTGCTAGCCTGGCAGGTGCTGCACGCCTTCTACAGTCACACAGAGCTGCTGCGACGCCAGCCTGGTGCGCTCGGGGCCCGCAGTTGGTCACGCCTGGCACGCCTACAGCTGCGCCACTTCAATGAACTGCCGCACGAGCTACGTGCACGCCTGGCCCGCGCCTACCGCCCAGCCACCGCTTTCTTGCGTGCCGCCGCGCCCCCTGCACCCATGCTTGCGCTGCTGGCACGCCAGCTCGTTTTCTACGCGGGCGCACTCTTCGCCGCGCTGCTCTTGCTCACCCTCTACGACGAGGATGTACTCGCCGTGCAGCACGTACTCACCGCCATGACCGCGCTCGGTGTCGTAGCCACCGTGGCTAGGTATGACGGGGATTCCTAGGGGCTCCATTTCTCACAGCCCCAGCATGTGCTATCTGCACGCCCACCTCACTCTACTCCACCTGCAGGTCTTTCCTTCCTGAGGAGCAGTGTCAGAGCCGCTCTGCGCAGCTTGTCCTGCAGGCGGCTCTGGCCCACATGCACTACCTCCCAGAGGAGCCCGGCCCCTCCGGCAAAGCCAGCGCTTACCAGCAGATGGCGCAGCTCTTACAGTATCGGGCGGTGAGGGCGAGGCGGGGGTGGGTCTAGGAGGGGCTGCATGTAGTGGGAAGGCCACCCGGGGCCCGAGGGGCTGGTCTGACTGGACTGGAGGTTTCCTGCCCTGGTGAGTGATCCTTGGCGCCTCTTGGTCTTGATCATTGGTGTGGGACTCCCCTCACACCTTTTCCCCATTTCCCCCCCAGGTCTCCCTTCTGGAGGAGCTCCTTTCACCTCTCCTCACCCCACTTTTTCTGTTCTTCTGGCTTCGACCTCGGTCCCTGGAGATTATCGACTTTTTTCATCACTTCACTGTGGATGTGGCCGGGGTTGGGGACATCTGTTCCTTTGCCCTTATGGACGTGAAGCGCCACGGCCACCCTCAGGTTAGAATCCTTCTCTGGCTTACAGTGTATGATCAGCAGACCTGAGCTACCATCCTCCCATTTCCTCACTTGCCACCTGTAACCTTGAGCAAGTCGTTCCATTTCCCTGAACCTTCATTTCCTTATTTGTAAAATGAAGACATTGGTAGTAGCCAGTATGTAGGGCATACTGGCATATAGCTCCTGGCATATAGCTGATACTCCAGAGTGGTGGAGAAATGGCTGGTCAGTGGGTGCGCTGGAGTAAACATGGCTTTCCTACCAAGGCAGCCAGGTGGGGTGGGGGTACAGAGACCTGTGACCAGTGGAGCTGGGTCCAGACCCAGGCCCAGTGCTGCTGCTATACTTTTGGATGAACGAGCTTGTCCCTCTCTTGACCTCAGTTTCTTGGCTAGTGTTGCCTGTCCAGCCTGCCCCTTGAGGCTCCCACTGTAGCTCTAGGCAGTGTCCATAGTACCTGAAGGACTGTTCTTGCTCTCAGTGGCTCTCAGCTGGACAGACAGAGGCCTCACTGGCTCAACGTGCAGAGGATGGAAAGACCGAGCTGTCCTTAATGAGATTCTCTCTGGTGCACCCACAATGGCGCCCCCCAGGGCACAGCTCTAAGTTCCTTGGACATCTTTGGGGACGAGTTCAACAAGATGCAGCCAGTTGGGGTGCCACCTCGGTCCGCAGCCCCCCTACTCCTGGCCTGCTCAGTGACTCCACTTCCTCTCTGGTGAGTCCTAGCCTTTTCTCCCTTCACCACTTTCAACTCTTCCGTTCCCTCTTGCCTCACCTATACTAACGTGCATTAGTGGTCCAACCCCATATACTCTCCTGCCTTCTTTAGACCTCCTCTTTCTCCTTTTCCCCTCTCTTTTGACTCTCTTTTCTGCTTTTCTTCTTCTCTTGCTCCCAGCCGGAGACCTTCCTGGCTAACCTCTTGGTGCACCCCATCCTGCCCTCGAGGGATCTGAGCCCCACAGCCCCCTGCCCAGCAGGAGCCACAGCCAGCGTCCTGGCCTCCATATCCCGGATTGCCCAGGATCCCAGGTAAGGGGTGGTGGCCTTAGCTGCCAGGCAGTGTGGGTGGTGGAGGATTAGCCTACAGGAGGAGGGAGATGGGGTCCTGTGGGGGCTCTGGAATGGGGGTGGGGGTGGTCAAGTCAGCCCTCACTTATGAAGGGTAAGAGGGGTATGTAGTTTTGACCTACTGCACCCTCTGCTCCAGCTGCGTGTCTCCAGGGGGCACTGGGGGTCAGAAACTGGCCCAGCTCCCAGAGCTTGCTTCTGCTGAGATGAGTCTCCATGCCATCTACCTACACCAGGTGAGCAAACAGGTACAGGAAAGAGAAATGTCGGGGAGAAAGCAGATAAACAACATGGAGACTGGGGAGGGAGCTAAGCAAATACCTAACAGGAGCTGGCAGAGGAGCTTAAAAACCCTCTGTACATAAGAAGGGGCTTAGAACTGCTCTCAGGGGAAGAATGGGAATCCCTTATTTCTCTTCCCTTTCATGTAGCTTCATCATCAGCAGCAGCAGGAACTGTGGGGAGAGGCTTCGGCCTCTTCATTGTCGAGGCCCTGGTCTAGCCCTTCACATCCGCTCTCACCTGATGAAGAGAAGCCATCCTGGTCAAGTGATGGTGAGGAGCTGAGGTGCACGAGAAACAGAGGCTAGGTGGACCCTGGGCACCAAGAGCACTGCCTAGTGATGACTTTTCTCACTAGGCTCCAGCCCTGCCTCGAGCCCCAGACAGCAGTGGAGAAGGCAGAGAGCCAGAAACCTGTGCCCTGAAGGGTTTCAGGAGACCACAGAGACCCAGCAGGAACCTGGTCAGACCCCCAATACCGACTGAGAAACTACTTCAGGGTCAGTATGGTCTGATTTGGAATGAAGAGAGAGAATTGAGGGAAAAAGGAATGAGTGGGAAATTGGGTGGATCCAGGCTTGGAGGGATAGATGATGATGGCAGTCTCTCAAATCTAGACCCCTGGGTTGCTTGTCAAGAACTTTCTCCTCCCATAGGCTCTCAGCTTCTCCAAACACAAGAAATTGGAAGGAGTGAAGTGGACGGATACACTGAGCCTCTCTCAGAACTTATCCCCAACTCCAGACTACAGAGCCAGGGATGCCTTAGTTGGGCAGGCCCTGGGGATCCATGAAGAACTCACCCCAGAGATCAGTAAAGAGTAGGAGAGGAGATGCTGAAGGCTTCTGGAAACAAGTCTTAGATGGTCCCCACATTGCGAGGGAGGAGTGAGGTAGCCTCAAGAAGAAAGGTAGGCAGGTGTCTAGGTGGAAGCCAAACTAATTTCAGGGAAATGAGACCCAGGATCTGCAAACCTTGCCTCTCCTTCAGGTCCCCTTGGACTTGTGGGGGAGGTGGGGAGTGTAGATGAGTTCACTATTGATGTGATGTCTTAGGAAGTGGGCGGGGCTCATCATCCTGTGTGAAATCAGCAGTAAAGTCTGTTTGCAGTTGTGTGCACATCTTTTGTGACTGTAGTCTTTTGACACCCCACTCCTGGCAGTCGAGGGCTGTATCTGCTTCCGCAATCCTTAATTGGCAGCAAGGGAATAGTGCTTGCCTGGAAGGAATGTTTTCTGGAGAAATGGGTCAGTGTGATTGGTGCAGGCAGGCTCTTGCTCCAGTAAGTGGGGCGTTGAATCCTGTTAAAGATCTGCCACCCCACATCTGCACAAGCGATGCTCTTAAAGACAAAACTTTCCATTCTGTCATTTTATTTGACTATCAAGTCTTCAATGACAGAGGTGATGTGAGACATCTTAACCCACCACACCCACCATCGTGGCATTGATTCCAACTCATAATGACCCTGTAAGATGGAATAGAGGTGCTCCGTAGGCTTTCTGAGACTGTCAGTTTTTGCAGGAGCAAATAGCCTCATCTTTCTCCTGTGGAATGCCTGGTGGGGTTAAACTGCTGACTTTTCAGTTAGCAGCCCGATGCTTAACCCACTGTACCACCAGATCTCGTTAGACATTTTGGTGGTGGTTGTGTGTCATGGAACAGTTTCCAACTCATAGCAACCATGTGTAGGATTTCCGGGGCTGTAAAATCTCTACAGGAACAGAAAGCCTCATCTTTCTCCCTTGGTAGATTTGGAGTGCTGACCTTGTGGTTAACAGCTCCGTCTTTGTTGTTGTTGTTAAGTGCTGTTGAGTCGGTTCCAACTCATAGTGACCCTGTGTAGGGTTTCTGAGGAGTGTCTGGTGAGTTTGAACTGCTGACCTTGTGGTTCAAACCTACCATGCAGTCTGGCGCATTAACCCACAGCGCCACACCAGGGCTCCTTTTAGACATCTTAGTACTGCTCATTAACACCTGGCACAATCACTTACGGCAAATCTTTAATAATAAATACTTAAATGTGGAGCTCTGAGATAAACACTAGCTGCTCCTTGGAAGCCTGGTACCAGGATTATGAGTCAGAACCGACTCAATGGCATTGAACGACAACATAATTTAGAGATTATTCTTGAAAGGTTAGATACACTCGAGACAAGTAAAGGGAATCTAAAATTCATCTAAAGACTACAAACGAGGTAATGTAATGGGAGATCCTGGACTATCACTGCTGGAAAAGGCCTTCCAGATTTAGTCCAACCCCAGGTAGGGATGAAGAGACGTTTCGCTCATTCCCAGGAATAAAGTGGATTCTCCGGAGACTCTATAGACAGATGTGGGCAAGCGTCTGGCGAAGGGAGGGAAAGAAGGTGGACCAACGGCTGTACTCTCTGGAGAACTGGGGTAGAAAGCAAGCAAAAGGGACCTCAAGGTCCAGGGGTGTCTGGGCTGGGCACGTCGAATGCCCAGGGGACTGTGCCCCGGAGTTGCCGTTCCTGCAAGGAAAAGCTCTGGGTTCGAATGCGGCTTGTCACCTCCTGGGTGCGCAGAGTGAGCCCGAAAATGTCCTCGTGGTAGCGTTGCTGATCCTGTGGGGAAGAAGGGCCGTGCCTCATGAACGAAATCCGAGGAGTGGGACTCCGGCCAGGCTGGGGTTCCCCACCTCCACTTCCTCAGGTCCCGCCAGTCTGCATTCTTATCTTGGAACCAGCCATCTCCAGGAATAGTCCCGCCCCTCTGCTTGGGCTCTGCCACCCCACCCCCACCCGCCTCATCCGCTGTGGGCCCTGCCCCTTCGCACTCGAAGCTCGCCGATGATGTCGCCAGCCTCGTCCAGCTCCAAGTTCCCTTCCGCCGCCAGGATGCGCTGCACCGTTTGCAGGACGCTGGTCGCCATGGTCACATCGCCGCAGACGAACATGTGGCCCCGCTCAAGGCACAGCACACGGTACACCTCAGCAGCCAGCTCAGTCCGCAAGAGGTCCTGCACGTAAGTCTGAGGGAGAGCAGTTAGGGGTGGTGGAGCCACGGGGTGTGGCCCTGGGCGTGAAAAGCCTCAAGGAAGGTGTGTGTGTGTGTGGGGGGGCGGTGCTGGGTGAGCCAAAGAGGACTCCAGGCTTGAAGGTGTGGTGTCAATGGGTCTGGGGTTTTCAGAGGCGTGAGTTGAGGGGTTGGCTCCCCATCTGAGCACTTGGCTTTTCCCTCTCTCCCAACATTCATTTTGGTTACCCAGTCTGCAGTGTCCTCACCTTGGGCCTGTTTGGTTCCCTGGAGAATGCAGTGAGAACTTGGCCAAACACCCCACGCTGCTGGGCATCTTGCACCTCCTCACGATAGAGGTGGTCCAGTTGGGAGCATCGGCAGCCAAACACCAAGATCATGGGAGCAGGCTGCAGACCTGTCAACAGCACTGATGCTCACAATTGCTCTCTTCCAGGGGGGTGCATCTCCAGCTATATGCCCAGAGCTGCCAGCCCACGCAAGCCTTTCAGGCCTAAACTATCATTGTGGCTGCTTGGCCTCTAGATGAGTACAGGATATTTTCACAAAGATTCTCAATTTACAGACGTAAATCTCAGCTCATGGCCAGTGGCAGAGCAGCACTAGACCTCGGGATTTCTGGTTTATAATTCCACATAACTTTAAATAAAGTTGGGGTCCTAGAACCCTCTCCAGCCCCTTTCAGGCTTCAACCCCATAGTTTTTACACCTTTTAGCTCTTACTCCATCTCTTGATGTACATGCTACTTTGGGTACCCTAAGGCCAAACTGAGCACTTCCTTAGGTCTTGGACACACCTAGGAAAGCTCTGGCAGAGTTCAGAACCACCTGCTACATTTTTCTGTCTTCCAGTCCCAGCCCTGATCCTTCCAGACTTCACTTTTCCTTTGTCCTTAATTCTTTTCAACACCTACTATGTATCTGATACCAGGAAACCCAACCAGCGGAGCCACTGGAGTGTATCCTCCTTTTGGTCTAATAAACTTCACTCTGTGGCCCCAAGTTGTTGCCCTTTTTATGTCTGGTTCCTACATTTCCCGCTCCTAGATTGTGAAACTCCCTTGACCCCTGGTCTCACCTTTGCTTTCAATAGCATGAAGCCGCTCCTGCCAGAATCCCCGGAAGGGAGCTATACCCGTGCCAGGTCCCACGAGGATGCAGGGCAAGCTGGGATCAGGGGGCAGCCGGAAGGAGGGAGCACTATTTGGAAAGACCTTCTATCAGGCACCCTTCGCTTCCCCACCTCCTCTGTTCTTAACAGCCACAGGGTCAGCCTGAAAGAGGAGCTCAACTTTCACTAATGAGTTAATATTGTAAAAGTACTTAGAACAGCATTTGGCTCATAGTAAAAGCACCATGCAAGTATTTATTAAAAGAACTGTATTTGCAGCCAGGGACACCCTGGGTCTGTGATTTCCAGAGATTGGGTCAAAGGAAATATAGTCTAAATTTAGATTGAGGACTATTTTGATGTCTAAGTTTAGGAAATTTACAAACTATAGAAGAAGGGAAGACATAGAGTACTAGTTCAAAATGACCCACTGAGTGTATTTATTTTAAATAGCCTTAATATTGGTAGTTGGTTTGTGTTTCGTAGGTTGGTACAGTGTAGGCATAATTTAGACTCATGGATACGTTTGTGCCTTCAGGCCTAGTTGGCTTCATCCTGGAAACTCTTTCTTTGTCCCCCTACCCCAAGACTTTCAGCTTCTCGGTGGCTGAACAATGACTCTGAAGATAGTATAAGCTAAGGGCATCCTGACATTTCTCACTTTCTTTGGATCCTCAGTGCTAAATATGGCTTTTACCATAATCTTTTCTCCCTGGATGACGTGGAGGTTTGGACCACAGTCCCTTGAAACCTATGCCTCCCAACATCAGACCAATCTCAAGGACACAGAACAGACATTTTCAAAAAGCAACAGGGTCTGCTGGTTAATCCTAGTTCGATCTCTGTGGGAACTGCAATTTCAGAACAAATTGTTAAGTGCTGTTGAGTCAGTTCCAACCCATAGCAAGGCTGTATAGGGTTTCCTAGGAGCAGCTGGTGAGCTTGAGCCACCAATGGCCTTGCAGTACAAACGGCTTTGCAGACTGGCACATTAACCCACAACGCCACACCAGGACTCCATTAGTGAATCCAAATTACTGAGAAGGCCAAGACCACCATTCTGAAATGGACTAGCCAGATACTCCATACATGTTAAGTAGGTTCGCCCAACCAAAGCTACCACTACACCCTGTGCAAACACCCCCCACCTCCGGCCCCCATTTCCTCTGTCCATCCAGGGCACTTTTGTAGCCCCTGCTTGGACAGACACACTGCTGCTCCTTCTCTGCTCTCCTTCCCCACCTCTGCCCCAGCAGGGTCTCCTTACCCCCTGATGAAGCAGGGCACAGGGTCTCCAGACTTAAGTTGGCTCAGCCATGTGGAGCAGACTCCATAGTGTAGTGGGCCCAGCCCGTCTATGGAGTTGGGAAGGAGA